TTTATTCAATTTATTAGACTTGTAATTATATAAATTAAATTTTTAGATTTTTCAAGTTAAAGAGGACCAAATTTAAGTCGAGGATAGGCCTATTTGACAAGACTTTTAAAAATCTAAAAGTTGTTTCTAAAGCTAAGAAACTGCTTTTGAATATATTTTCATAATTTTAGTGCTATATTTGACTCTAAGAACTTTTAGAAAAAAACTCACCTATGAGAGATTTCTCTCTCTAAAAAAAAAAAAAAAGGGTCACATGTTTAAAAGTAATTTAAAATTTATATTCATTCTTTAAATTTGAAAATGATCTCTATTACGTAAAAAGTGCTTAAGCTCTTGAAAATGCTCTTACTTAATTGTGTTCAATTTAAATTTAACATACAAAGATCTCATTGAAGTTAAATATAAATAAAAAGTGAGTAAAACCATAGTTATACCATGGCTGAACCAAACGGGTTTAGATAAAACCTGAATTGGTTTATGGTAGAATCAAGTGCAAAATTTTTATTCAAAATGCGAAAGATAGAGATTGAACCTTGGCATTAGAAGGGAAATATTACATCTTTGACCATTATGGCAATATCCAAACTTGTGCCACACCATTGAACTAATACATATATATATATATATATATATATTTTTATATTTAGAAAATTTATTCTCCTTTATTTAAAAAAATAATTTTTAATTAAAATAATGACCTAACAATGACCCATCGGTCCCATCGGTTGAACCACTACCCGATGACCCAATGATTTTTTCGGGTAGATAAATGGGTCGGGTATGATAACTGTGAGTAAAGCAAATAATTAATGCCACTAGTTACCCTTCTTCAATTCAACTGTTCCGAAACATGCATTTATGAAACAATACAAACTTGTAGAAAATAATTATGAACAATTTTGATGTCTTGAATGGAAAGTGATGTTCCATCTTATTAATCTAAGGATTCGTTTGATTGTAAGAATGAAATTTGGGTGAAAAGAGAATGAATTTCAAGGAACTAAATTGTCTAGAAATTGTCAATTAAATGTGTTTGATTGGTATAATTTTTTACTGAAAATGTTGAAATTTTGGATCTTTTGATGGTCGTTTAACTTTGTTTTTCATTTAAATTTTCAATTAAATGGATATAATTTGCTACAATTGTGGATATAATTTGTTTTCATTGCAAAAAAAAAAAAAATGTTGAGAACTGATTTCCCACCAAACATATGGGAATTGAAATTCCACAAAATTAAGGAAAAAGGGGTCACATGGTTGTG